GTGGATGGGGATAGATAGATAGAGGGGGTGGACGGGGATAGATAGATAGATAGATGAGGTGTGTGGGGATAGATAGAGGGGGTGTCTAGATAGATAGAGGAGGGGTGGATGGGGATGGATAGAGGGGTGGGTGGGTGGGATAGACAGTCAATCTCCCCAGTCACTACTTGTCTGTTTCACACACTAGCCGAGGCTCCCTGGCTGTGGCCAGTGTGGGGGTGGGGGCCTGCGAACATCACTCGAATGTCTCCAGTCCCTCTGACCCCCCTACCTTGGGCACCGTCTCCCCCAGCAGCATGTCCACGGCTTCCCCGCCCCCATGGCCACGGCTTCCCCTTCCCCCACCCCGTGCCTATGGCTCTGGGACAGCCACCCTCCCCGCCCCGATCCTGGCCCCCCTACCGGGGGCGTTGAGGGGGGTGCCCCACCCCGACACCAAGCATTGCTCGCCCGGCTCCGCACACTGGGAGGCCAGGCCCAGCGGCTGGACGTAGCGGTTGAGCGTGGCCGGGGTCTGCAGCTTCAGCAGCATGATGTCGTTGTCGTGGTCCGTGCAGTTGTAGCCGGGGTGGATGATGCTTTTGGCCACGACTTTGTACTGCTCGGTGCCCTCGCGGGCATACAGGTTGTAATCCCCCAGGCGCACGTGGATGGGGCTGCAGGGGAAGCAAAGAGCTGGATTCACCCGTCAGGACACTGACCCCAGGACTGAGACGCCTGAATCCGGCAGGGTCTCAGCTTTCTGTTAAAACAAAAATTGCCTTTCTAGCCCTTGTGGTTTTGGAGAAAAGGTGGGAAAAGGTCTGAGACAGTGACACTGCCTGGGTCTGCAGAGAGCCTGAGCCCGTCGCTGGGAGAGGGGGGAACTGCCCTGAGTGCAGGGCCGGCTCTAGGTTTTTTGCCGCCCCAAGCAAAAAAAATTTTGGCTGCCCCCCACCCCAGCCCTAGGCTCCCCCCGCACCTCCCTGCCGCCCCAACTCTGGGCTCTCCCCACCACCTCACCCGCACTCCCTGCTGCCCCAGCCCTGGGCTTCCCCCCACCAGTGCTGACTCCGCCCGCTCCCCCCTCGCCTCCAGTCGGTCTGGCGCTGGCAGGGTCGGGGTAAGTAGGGGGGCTCCCGGGCCCCGCCTCAGCTCAGGGTCCCTCCAGCCGGGGCCCCCACCTCCAGGACCGGCCGGGACCCGGGAGGGCAGAGCCGGGGGACCGCCCAGCAGAGGGCTGAGGAGCCAGGGCAGGGCAGCCCCAGAGAGAGCGGAGCCCCGGAGTGCGGGATGCGGGCCCCACACGGCAGCGCCCCGGGCACCGGTCCCCACTATGGCCCCGCTGCTGCTGCTGCTCCTGGCCGCCCTGCCACAGTCCCTGGGTGGCTCGGGCCGCTTTGCCCAGCCCCGGCTGCGGCGCTGGGGGGCGGCCGCCCTGCGACACCTGCAGGTGGCTCCGTCCACCCCGCGGGGCGGTCCCCATCCCGAGTGTCCCACGCTCGGAGCCCGCCCGGGCATAAGGTGCAGGCGCTGCTCCCCGACGCGAACTGCAGCGTCCCCAGGGCGCCCCCCGTATAGGACGCGCTGCTGCTGCCAGGGCCAGGCTTTTGCCGCCCCAAGAAAAGAAAGAGGGGAGAAAAAAAAAAAGGCTGGCTGGAATGCCGCCCCTGAAAACTTGCCACCCCAAGCACGTGCTTGGTTTGCTGGAGCCTGGAGCCAGCCCTGCCTGAGTGTCACTTACACAGTGACGCTGCCTGGGTCTGTAATGCAGCAGGTTTAAAACAAACAAAGGAAAGGGTTTCTTCAAACAGTGCACACTCAACCTGTGGAACTCCTTGCCAGAAGATGTTGTGAAGGCCAAGACTATAATGGTTCAAAAAAGAACTAGATAAGTTCATGGAGAACCAGAAGCTGGGAATGGGCGACAGGATGGATCACTTGATGATTATCTGTTCTGCTCATTCCCTCTTGGCCCCTGGCACTGGCCACTGTCAGCAGACAGGACACTGGGCTAGATGGACCTTTGGTCTGACCCAGTCTGGCCGTTCTTATGTAACCCAAACCACACCCCAAGCCCCACCCACCCCACACTCAGCCCCACCTACCCGGTCAGGCAGTGGGCTGCAGTCAGGACCCATCTACTACTGATGAGGGTGGCGCCGCAGTTGTACTTGGAGCGTATGAAGATGGCTGCCTGCCAGGGCTGTGCGTGGGGGTGGCATGGATGCCCCTTGAGCTTTAAACTGCCCCAGGCTGCAACTGGAAAAAGAAGACGCAGATATAGTGGCAGATCTCCATCTCGCCCCCAAGGGCCCCTCCTGGGATACTGGAGAGCAGGGGCTGAGCTGGGTGAGCAGTGCACGGGGGTGATGGCTGAGCAGGGGGACAGGCCCGAGCTGAGATCAGGGCCCCATGGCACTGGGCGCTGCCCAAATACACAGCCAGAGACAGTCTCTGTTGAAGCTGAGATCAGTGCAGGGCAGCGCCACAGCCAGGAGTAGAAAAGTCAGGCACCGAGAGTCCCCATCTGCAGAGGGGTCGCGGTCACGTAGCGCTGGGTCACAGCCACGTGTGCGACGGGGCGTGTACGTGGCGCTGGGTCGGGGCCACATGTGCGACGGGGCGTGTACATGGCGCTGGGTCACAGCCACGTGTGCGACGGGGCGTGTAGGTGGCGCTGGGTCACGGCCACGTGTGCGACGGGGCGTGTATGTGGAGCTGGGTCATGGCCACGTGTGCGACAGGGCGTGTATGTGGCGCTGGGTCGCGGCCACGTGTGCGACGGGGTGTGTACGTGGCGCCGGGTCGCGGCCACATGTGCGATGGGGCGTGTACATGGCGCTGGGTTGGGGCCATGTATGTGTTGGGCTATGTGACATTCTGTACCTTGGGGGAAAGC